TAGTAAAAGTGCCGAGAGCATCAATTGAGAAAGGACAGCCAGCTCAACAAACAGTGCTGGAAAGGAGACACCTTCATGCAGTAAATTAAACCCAGACTCTCCATTATTGCTCATTATATATTTAAAATAATCAACCAAAATGGATCAAAACTCTGAAACCTCTAGAAGAAAACACACCAGAAGTACTCAAGATATTGGCACAGGCAATGATTCCCCGAAGAAGACTCTACTAGGCCAGCACACAGAAGCCAGAACTGACAAATAAGATTACATCAAATTAAAAAGCTTCTGTACAGCAAAAGAAAAAAAACAATAAAGTGAGAACCTACACAAAGGAAAATCTTTGCCAGCTACCCATTTGACAGGGGATCAATATCCAGAATATATAAAGAATGCAAAAGAACAAATAATTTCATCAAACATTGTCAACTGATCTGAAGAGATACTGCTCAAAAGAAATACTACAAATGGCTGATAAATATATGAAAAGTGCTCAATAGCTTTAGCCTTCAGAGAAAAGCAAATTAAGTTTTATAACCCAGCTGTACTACTCTGGTATATATGTATCTAAAGCTTAAGTCAATACACAGATTTGCAAACCTGTGTTTGTTTTAGCACTACTTACAATAATTAAGAGACAGAATTTACCTAGGTGCCCATTAACAGATGAACTATATGAGGAACACACACACACACACACACACACACACACACACACAACACACACACACACGAGTATTATTCAGGACAATGAGGAATGAAATCATGCTATATGAAGGAAAATGAATCGAACTGGAGATCATGGTAAGAAAAATAAGGCAGACACAGACAACTATTGTATCTTCTCTCACATGTGAAAACTAGAAAAAAAATGTCAAAAAGAGCAAATATCTCAGAGGTCCTGTGGGATACAGAGGAATCAGGATCCTGTGTAAACATAGCCAGCAAGGGATGAGGCTGGGATGTAACTCAAACTCTAAGTTTTCTGCCTCACAGGCTGCTCTCTTTCTGTTGCTTCTTGGAGAATTAAGGACATATATAGCTGGTTAGTAAGAGGAGGGCAGGCTTTTGTACTTTGCAATGATAGGGTTACAGAGAGTAAAGCGTTTGTAGCACCTGCATCAGCACATATCAGCTCCTGTAGTGCCCACCAGGGACTAGTATTAAGGACTTCCACTCAGTAAAGTAGACAGAGAAAGACTCAAGACCTCATCCATCAAGGAAGAGTATCCTAGCACATGTCTGGAAAAAGAACCAAAATGCAGATGAGCATCTGTCCTAGTTGGTTTTTATGGCCAGCTTGTCACAAAACTGCTGGGGATGTCTTTCTGTATGCTGTGAATGTGTTGCTCTGATTGATTAATTAAATAAAATGCTGATTGGCCAGTAGCCAGGCAGGAAGTATAGTATAGGCAGGATAAGCAAAGAGAAGAATTCTGGGAAGTGGAAAGCTGAGTCAGAAGACGCTGCCAGCCGCTACTGTGATGAGAAGCAAGATGTAAAAATATTGTTAAGCCACGAGGCAAAGTATAGATTTATAGAAATGGGTTATTTTAAGATGTAAGATTTAGCTAGCAAGAAGCCTGAGCCATTAGGCCATACAGTTTAATTAATATAAGCCTCTGTGTGTTTACTTGTGTCCAAGTGGCTGCAGGACTGGCAGGTGAGAGAGATTTGTCCTGACCACAGGCCTGGTGGGACACAGGAAAACTTCAACTACACAAAACTGTCACCTAGAAAGAGAAAACTTCAAATGAGGAATTTCCCAGACCAGATTGGTCTGCGGCCATGTCTATGAGTGTTTGTCTTGACTGACATTGATGTGGGAGAGTTTAGCTCTCTGTGGGAGGCACCATCCCCCGGCAGGTAAGCCTGGACCATAAAAGAAAACTAGATGAGAGAGCTGGGAAAGTGGGCCAGCAAGCGGCATTCCCCCATGGTCCTTACCTCTGGCTTCCTTCCTTGAGTTCCTGCCCTGACTTCTCTCAATGGTGGGCTATCAAAGTGTAAAATGGAGTAAACCCCTTCCTCTCCTAAGCTGTTCCTGGCCATGGTGTGTTTATCACAGCAACACATTAAAACTAGGACAACAACTTAACGTTCACTCTTCCTACTATATTGTAAACATATACTTGGGTGAAGTGACTTTCAAATAAATTGTAATCGTATGTCCATTTGAGTTGGCATTTATGGAATCATAGCACCATCTTCAGATGTGGCCTGTGAAGGAAACAACTCTCAGTAAACAGACTTAGAGAGACACAAAGAATATTCTCCACCATCACTACCCTCACTCACATCTGCCAAAAGGGTATTTCATAACTGCTATGGACCAAGGCTGCTAGACTGTTTCTAATATTTCTTCTTTCTTAATGGAAGTGCTTTATGATGTGTGTGTGTGTCTGTGTGTGTGTGTGTTGGGGGAGTGCATAGTGATTGTGGTGATGTCAGATTATTTGTCCTATTAATAAATATAAATACATACATATATGTATTAATACATAGTAATTAATATGTATTAATTATGTTAATTAATTGGGAAAGAGAGCCAGACAAATGTTAGTTCACAAGGTAGACTGTGGCGTTTATATATGTTATTCATACAATACTTTCAGTTTTCCCTCCACACACACCACAACCATCACTTCCCTGCCCTCTTAGCTGTGGTCAGATGGTTTGCTTTGGGCAAATAAGATGAATAAAATGCCTGGCATCAGTGACAGGTGAAGCTCTTGGAGCTTGTAGACACTTTGCTGGGCTTTCTTCCTCTGTACTGAGAACGGTGGCTGCTGTCCTTGCCAGGGTCCCACACTGACAATAGCGCAGGGCAGGGATTGGTAAAGAACACCAAGACACGAGTATCAATTAACTGAAAATTGGAGCATGCTTGTCACTGCAGGGCACCAGCCTATTCTAACTGATCCGGGGATCATCTTAATTAGTTACAGAATCACTTTTTATTTGGCAGGACTGTTTTCCTAGCCCAGGTGTCAAGCATATAACTGGGGAGTGGGAACAGTAGCTGTAACTGACATGCGTAAGTAGAAGCTGTTTGCAGAGTGGGTTGACAAGAAACTAGATGTGATGTCTGAGGGTAACCAGGAAGGAATCATGGTAACATTGGTAGAAGGATGTACTTAGGAGTGTCTTTTCCTATAGATTTTTCTTCAGGCTGTGTTGTTCAGTAATACCCATGTAGGAATCTGGCTAGGGCACTGGGCACATCAAGGCCCCCACTTCAGCACAGCTGTGTGCAGTGGTTAATGCTTTCTGTTCAACCTCTAAGTTAGTGTCTCACTCTATCTGTTAGTTTCATGGATTCTTGCCATAAGGTACAGTTTTCTTCTCCTGGTAGCCTTGGGGAGCCTACAATAATGAGAAGACTCTCATCCCTAAGTCTTGTAAAAATGTTAAACAAGGCTTGTCACTCTGGGTGAAACATGTCACACATGACATGCGTAGCCTCAGCTCAAGAACACCTATTTTTATTCCTCACTCCCCTGTATCTGCTCCCTGACTTCTGTTCCCCAAAGCTCACAGTGTATGCTATATACTCCTCTTTCCATGTTTTGTCCCATGAAGCTGCTCTGAAATCACTCTTTACCTAGCTCACAGAAACTTGTGTCTCCACCATGTTACTCCTGGGTCAACTGATCCACAGAGAACAAATTATTATATGGTTGGCCTCTGACATCCACAAGCTCTTCAGGTGGCTCAAAAATATGTCTTTAAAAGTTGTGTCTGGGGGATGGAGAGATGGCTCAGTGGTTAAGAGCACTGACAGCTCTTCCAGAGGACTCGGGTTCAATTCCCAGCACCCACATGGCAGCTTGCAACTGTCTGTAACTCCAAGATCTGTATTGTATGCAGGCAAAATGCAAGTGCAGATAAAAATTGTGTCTGTACTTCACACTTACAGACGACTCAAATTGCCAAACAATGTGGTTTAACAACTATTTGTAGAGTAGCCCATATTGCATTATGGGCTACAAATAATCAAGAAGATTTAAAGTATACAGGAGACTGTGTGGGGTCATATGCAGGAACAATGTCATCTTAAGTGGGTTTGAGCAAGGCTTTGGTGTCCCTGGGAGATGTGGGAACCAATTTTTGAAAATACTGAAGGATGGCTACATTAAGAGCACCTTTCCCCTCACCACCGAGTGGTGAAGGGCTGAAGTTACCAATCTGGGAAGCATTCATAGATTCCATCAACACAAGGTTCGATCTTACCTCAGAGTGATATCTGCCTACTTGGGAGCACCCTCCTTCCCATCTGGTTGCCCTCAGTGGGATTCAAAGGATCCCAGGACTTAAGGAAGCAGAAACAGACTCCAGCTGAGCTGAATAAAACAAAAGGCTGTTGGCATGGAAAGCTCCTTTGTTTAGTTCCAAAGTGGAAATAGGGTTGGACTGGGGGATTAGAAGAGAGGAAAGGGTAAAGTAGAAGAAAGGGACCTCTCCATGGGCAGTGGTGACTAAGGGCCTCTGTCCTAAGAGGTGAGGGACAGGGCTGAGGCAAGGTTCAGCACTGAGGGCTGAGTATACCCTGAGAATGGCCTCTATAACTACATGGCCTGTGGACAATTTGCTTCTCATAGACCTGGGCATGTAGATGCCAGGGGTTTGGACACTTGAGTGGTTTCTAAGCAACCTTGAGACAATTGACAATTTCAATCAGAGAGTCTACATTTAACCCTTCAGATATGCAGCCACAGTTTGGAACCAATTAGGATCCCAGAATAATAAATAGCCTTAGTAACCCAGAGGCAACCATGAACTTGTCTAGGTTGAGCTAAAATAAAAATCCATTCTCAAGCCAGGTGTTCCATTATTACCTAGAGCTAGTGTCTAGATTGATGCTTACTTTTGTAAGTGCTGTTTTGCCAGTAAAGAGCATCTTTTGTTCTGGCTAGCACTCATGTTACTTGTTCTTTTTCTCTATCAGTATCTCGCATGGACAAAACACAGAGCATAAAGAGGGCTCCACTTAGGGTTACCTTGCCAACAGGCGCCGACAGTAAGTTGCATGGCTATATGAGATGGATGAATGGGCCAATCATTGGTCACCAGGTATGGTTCATATGTTGCTCCATCCATGTATAGGGTGACCACAGGAAACTCCACATTGATGACATAGTAATGCCACTCTTTGTCACAAATCTAATGGGGAAAAAGAACACACAGAGAGAAACAACACTTAAAATTGAATCTAGAATGCGACACCAAACAGCTCTTTAAAATCTCATTCTGAAAGGAGAGGAAGATGTTTTGGGGTCAGCAATTATTATCTCAAAGACTTAACATAATTTTGACGTCTATCACAACCAAGGTTATCAAACTCATTATCAAACACAATGAGAAGAAGAATTACAAGTGGATCCAGTCATCTCTAGCTGAATAGAGTCACCCTTCAGTGTTCACAGGATTGGCTCCAGGAGCCAATCTGAGTTTAAAATCTGCAGATGCTCAAGTTCTTTGTGTAAAATGGCATTGCATTTGCTGGTAACATATGCATATCCTCCTGTGTACTTTAAATAAACTCCAGGTTACTTATAATGCCCAATGCAATGTAAATTCTTTAAATAACTGCTTGGCTGTATTGCTTAGGGACTAACAAGAAAAGAGAGCCTACTCATATTCAATACGGGAGCGATTCCTCAGTTGGGTGAATTCATGGATGCAGAACCTTTAGGCATCCTGTTCACATAATTTCCAGCTACTTAGTCAGGCTACCTGATGGACAGGTAGGAGTGTTCGCTTAAATTTCTTTGGATGAAATTTCTCTTACTTCTTCAATATAGAGAAAGTACAATTGAAACCATTCTTCTAAGTTCTGGGATAGATGGAGCTGGATGAAGAGTAGTGCTTCAGTGAAAGGAAAGCTAAAGGTTAAGATGAATGAGGAGAGAAGAAAGGACGACTGAAGAAGAAAAAGGCAGAGCAGTTGGAATTCAGTTAGAGAGAAGGTGGAATCAGAAAGAGGAAGAAGCAGGAACCCCAGGAATTGGAGCTGCTAATCCCACTGCTGCCTGGGCAACTCACCAGAGAAGCTGGTGTATGTCACCTGGCCTTTCTTATTCAAGGAAAAGATTCCAAGGGAGACAGACTTCCTAGCAGAATTCTGCCTTCCTCCACATTGGTGTGCCTAGGGAGGCAGAGAAGGGCCACAAACAGAACTTTTGGCCCGCACTGAGAGCTGGATACTCTTCACATACGACTTTGCATACATAGCCTGCCATACCCAGGGTCCTGTTCTTTCTTTCAGGGCTGGGGACCAGCATTAATGGATTCGTAGACTGTGGGGGGAGAGAGTGGTGTGACAGTTGATTTTGACTGTCATCCTCAATGGGTTGAGAAACAGGGAATCAGCGAAGCACACCTCTGGTGTGTCTATGAGGACGTTTCTAGGGGTGATTGCCTCCATATGGTTCTGACCTAATGAATTAGTTAATCCCTTAGTGGATTCATAATATGGCCATATTACCAGGAGGTGGTGAAAGCTAGGGATGTAGGGCTTAGCTGGAGAAACAGGTTATTAGGAGGTTGTCTTTGGGACTGTATCTCACCCTGGACATTTCCTGTGTTCTTTCTGTGTTTCCTGCCTACCAAGGATGGCTCTGCTCTGCCATTCCCACTCTGTTATTGATAACTCAGAAACAATGAGCAAAAGTAGTTCTCTCTCCTCCTTTTAGGTAGTTGGTTACAGTGATGTAAAGGTAACTGATACAGGAGGAGTCACATTTCCTGACCCGAGAGACCAGACTCGCACTGTACAATCTATAACAAAAACATGGGAAGGGAGGCAGGAAGCAGAAAAGGCAGCAGGACAAGAGAATAGCGCTGCCCTCCCTCTGTGAAAGCCTGGGCTCTCTCCTTTGTGTTCAGTCTCCTCCGCTCCCTCTGCACCCCGTGGAATCCTCTGAAGTGTCTCTCATCTGTATCATTCACTCGCCATCACCCCTGCCACAGATGGCAGGGGAGGCTGATGAGTTCTACATGAAGGTGACCCCAAGGTGGGGGCATCAAAGCCCTCCCTCCGTCCCGCACTGGATTAAATGTGCTGTTTCTCATGAATAGATAACACCAACAGGGATGCTAAATGATCTTTTCCCTTTCATTTTGGAATAAGAATTTCTTCCTTAATGTTCTTTTTATATTGTCCCATCTCATATCTCAGAAAATTACTCCTTTTGAAGCCCATTAGTCTGATAAAGCCTGATGAATATTTTAGGGACTTTTGTAGGCAAGCAGGAAGGGTCCAGGAGGTTCACTCCAATGTCTTGTTGAATTCAGTGAGATCCCTGAATCAGTTTACACTCCCTATCTTATTGGTGTCCTGGATCAGACCATATCTGGATGCAGAGGTTTTGGGTTGAGCCTGTGATTAGAAGGGTGATGCCAGGTCACAGGGGTGGTCCACAGGAGGAACTGAGAGCTTAGGGCTGTTGGAAGGGGAACATTTGAATGAATCACCCAACCCAAAGGATCTCAATGCAGCATATGTTTGGAGTTGGAGTCAAAGATAGCCAGGCAGCAGCAGAAACCTAGAAATGGTTTACATCCTGGATGTATTCCAAGACGTATCTGGAAGCTTCTGGCTAGGTCCAGGGCGACAGTCAAGTATTCCTGGACATGCTTCCTCCCCCATGGAAATTAAGCCATCAGGGATAGCCATGTAAGTAGCACATGAGGACTCCCTGTCCTGGCTCCCATCACTACCCTCACAGCAGTCACTCTGTCTGTGCAGATGGCAGGTTGAGCCCTTGTGCTTCATCCAATCATACCACACTCTGTGACTGCTGAAGATGAAGCAGAATGGTCCTCTGGCCTTATTTCTCAACACTCAGCCTTTACAAAAGACAACAGAAAACATTTCCAGGAAAAGTAAGAACCATTACACATTTTTTTTTTTGAGACAGGGTTTCTCTGTGTAGCTTTGGAGGCTGTCCTGGATCTCGCTCTGTAGACCCGGCTGGCCTCAAACTCACAGAGACCCACCTGGCTCTGCCTCCCGAGTGCTGGGATTAAAGGCATGCACCACCGCCCAGCCTTCCATTTTACGTCTTAAGAGCATCAGAGCCCTTCGTAATATGGTAGTTTTTTTCTAGATACTTTTCCTATATTTTGTTGAACTGTGCTTCATTGAGGGGCAGCTTCCATGATGCCTTTCATAATACAGGGAGTCCGTGTCTTTAGCTGGGCCTCATGGTGGAGATGAAGAGGCTTTCCCACCCTCATTAGCATATCTGTGACTCCAAGCAGCCTTAAAGAATATGCTTGTAATATGTTTTCAACCTTGGAGATGGGAACATTTCTATTTACAGTGTTTGTATAAACATCCTGAGAAACAACAGCCGTGAACACCCTGTTTGGATCACACTGTTTAATGATTTGAAAGTTTGCATGTATCAGTTAATGTTGGCATTGAAAACCCCATTGTAAGTGGTCATGTGATGTGGCTATGGATATCCTATAATATACCTAACTATTCTCTCATTATTGGATTAATTTTATAACTGCGATTACAAATGATGCTATAGTCAATTTTTTGGGCATAAATATTTGTCTGCATTTCTGAATATCTCCTTAGGAAAGACTCCTGGAAGGATATTAAATGGCTCAAATATTATAGCTATTTTTAAAGTTCTTAATACATACAGTGATTTTTTTCCAGCTAAAGATTATAACTCTTTATTCTTTTACCCAGAGAATTTGAGAAGGTTCCTGTGTTGTACCATTTGTGAAAGAACACATCCTGTCTCATTTTTGTAATGAATCACAAAAGATGGTACGGGTTATGTGTTCTCAAATCAAAACAGAGACTACAACCTATGTGAAGAGCAGCCAAGACTCAGAGGAGTGAGCAGAGCTGTGCTCATGAGCTCTTAATTGGGCATCCAAACAGTCTTTTAGTTCATGCTAAGCTTACGGCTGCAGACTTGTCCCAATGAGCTATGTCAGCAGCTGAAGGAAATGCCTAATTAGAGTTTCATAAATGTGGATCTATGATCAGGAAGAGACCCACATTGACCCTTAGCTAGAACGGCAGGGACAAACTGTAATTGAAAAATGATCGAGCCAGGAGGCAGCAGAAATAGAAGCTTTGCTACATAGGTCAACCAAGACAAGGAAACTAGGCAAAGTGACCTTTCCTTGGGGGAGAGATGAACTTGAATTCTTAGCCGCTTGTGAATCACTGGCAAACCTAACTAGCTTGACACCTGTCCCATGGTGCCCCTGAATGGATGACCAAGGCATGGCCTAGACAAAGCCACCTCCTTCTCAGAACACCTGCAGGTGGGATTCTATGTTAGGTGGCTGGAGCTGCTCTTTAGACCATGAGTGAAAAAGTGGCCAGAGATTCAGAGACACACACCGAGGAAGACTATGGCTCTGGAAAATCCTCTTCACAGCTGCTGAGAGCCTGATTCAAATACCACCTCCAGGTTGGAAGTTCTGACTTAGTTTCTCCATTAAATCAGGTGTTTTTAATGCAGCTCTTCAGCACGTGACTTATTGATTTGCCAAGTGCTGTGTCAATTACTATTTCTATTGTGGTTGTAAGGGACAGCAGAGCTCCTGAGACGGATTCTTCGCCTTCGGGAGTTTCAATCTAATGGGGAGGGGAGAGGGGAGAAGTGATGTGATGGGACCACATACAAAAATATTCCAATCTAATGGGAATTTAAGTAAGTGTTGTAACTCAGGTGCAGAGCACTTCAAGGTTCCAGAGAATGGAGAGATCTTTCCAGCTGGGAGGAAGTGGAATTTAGGGTGAATACTGCAGGACTGTTAAGGTTTCATTGGGCACAGAAAGTAGAATAGATTTCAAGCAAATGAAGCAGAAACCTCTTATTCCTTTAATTGGTCATTTTTCCCCACTGTTGGCGGCATCAGTTTGGCAGCATATGGAGTCTAATTTTTTCCATCATTTCTGTAGAGACTTGCAAAGAACATAGCATATTTTGTGAAAAACAATCCCCAAACCTAGCCGGAACTTCCAGTCCAACTGAGGCATTGATAAAAGGCTTCTAACAACCTGGAATTCATAGTCATCCTAGGTTTGTGCAGCATGCCAGGTAAGTCCATGCCGTGTGTGTGTGTGTGTGTGTGTGTGTGTGTGTGTGTGTTTGTGCATGTGTGTGAGTTGTGTGTGTGTG